AGTGAGGGGCACTAGCAGGGCTGGGGGGTCAGGGCTGGGTTAGCAGGGGGCTGCGAGTCGGGAGTGAGGGGCACTGGCAGGGCTGGGGACGAGTCTAGTGGTTGGGGAGGGGCTGGGAGCCACTAGACCCCACTGCGCTCTCAAAGGCAGGAACGGAACCCAGGCGTCCGGGCACTGCGCGGACCCAGCCCTGCGGTCCAGAGTTCACAGGCTGGACTTTCCACACCAACCCCCCCGCCCCCCCCGCGGGTTCTGGATCTGTTCCAGTTCCAGCACCGAGCCCCTCCCCCTCCCATGCCCCCCACCCTGGGCCATGGCCACCCGCTGGGGCATCTGCCAGGCTGGGAAAAGGAGAAACAGGGACTCAGGACTCCTGGGTTCTCTCCCCGGTTCTGGGAGGGGAGTGGGGTCTGGTGGTTAGAGCAGGGGGGGCTGGGAGCCAGGACTCCTGGGTTCTTGGCTCAGTGCTCGCTGACTGGGAGAGGGGTTGGTTCTGGGGGGGTCCCAGTTGTCTCACCTGCCCTTTAACCCTTCCCCACCCCCCCAGGCTGTGGCAATCGCTGCGCGTGATCTCTCCCGGGCTCAGGAATATGCCCAGAAACACGGGATCCCCCGAGCGTACGGGAGCTACGAGGAGCTGGCGCGGGACCCCGACGTGGGTGAGACCCCCAGGGACTCCCATGGGACCCGACCCAGAGAGAACCCCCTGGGCGGCACGGGGCCTTTCCCCTCTGGGGCAGTGTGTGTGTCCAGGGATACCTTTGGGGCAGGCTGAGACCCCCGAATGTGGGGACTGACCTGGGAGGGGTGAATGGCAGCACGAGGGGTGGCCAGGAGCCAGGACTCCTGGGTTCTCTCCCTGGCTCTGGGAGGAGAGTGGGGTCAAATGGTTAGAGCTGGGGGAGGGGGGCGGGGCTGGGAGCCAGGACTCCTGGGTTCCACCCCCATTTCTACCTCCCGTGGCAGACGTGGTCTACGTGGGGGTCATACACCCCGAGCACCTGCCCGTGGGGCGGCTTTTCCTGGGGGCCGGGAAGCCCGTGCTGCTGGAGAAGCCCCTGGGGATGAACGTGGCAGAGGTGAGGGAGCTGGCGCAGCTGGCCCAGAGCCATGGGGTCTTCCTGATGGAGGTGAGTGACCCCCTTAGAGCCCCCCTACAGCCCAGCGCCCCCCAGCACCGCCCTGGGGCATCGGGGCCAGGCCTGAGCACCGGAGAGAGCGCTCCCTGCTGAGCCCCCCCGGGTCCCTCCGCAGTCCAGCGCCCCCTACTGAGCCCCCCACATCCACGCAGCCCAGCGCCCCCTAGGGTCACTGGGGCCAGCCCTGATGGCCAGGGGAGAGCGACCGAAGAGTGAGGTGGCCAGGGGGCGTTTGCTTGCGGTTTAAGACAGGGACTCGCAGTTTTGTGCTGTAGGTTTGAAATAGTAGGTTTGAAAAGGCCCCTGGGGTCATGGTGCCTGGGAAAGCCGCCAGTGTCCTCGTTCAAGCGAAAGTCCAGGGCTCGGGGGAATTCGATCTGCCGTGCAAACCAGGGGAGCTTCCCAAGAGCGGTGCTTGGCCGGCTGGAACAAACACCTGGCCCGGTGGAGATCTGTGAGGACCCGAGTGAGCAGCCCCGGGCGGAGGCAGACGGTCAGTGGACAGGGCAGGAGAAGTCGTCCAAAAGAAACGACTTGTCTAGAAACGTAACCAGAAAGAAACGGTTTTGTCGAAACGACCGCACGCTTCGCTCGCATCTCGCCTTGTCCCCGTGCTCGCCCGTTTGGAAAACCCTGCCCAGTGCCAATATGTGAACATCAGAGCGGCCAGACTGGGTCACGCCAATGGTCCATCTAGCCCGGTGTCCTGTCTGCCGACAGTGGCCCATGCCAGGTGCCCCAGAGGGAATGAACAGAACAGGGGATTGTCAAGTGATCCATCCCCTGTCGCCCATTCCCAGCCTCTGGCAAACAGAGGCCAGGGACCATCCCTGCCCATCCTGGCTAATAGCCATTGACCGACCTATCCTCCAGGAACTTATCTACAGGGCCGGCTCTAACTTTTTTGCCGCCCCAGACAAAAAAGAAGAGTGCCGCTCTGCCGTACCCGCCCCCCGCGAGCGCCGCCGAAATCCCCGCCCTCCCCCCAGCACCACGCCACCCAAAGCCCCGCCCCCCAGCGCCCCGCTGCCCGAAGCCCCCACCCCCTCTCCGAGCGCCGCACCGTGCCAGTCCCCGCCCCCCCAAGCAGCACACTGCCCAAAGCCCCGCCCCCCCAAGCACCATGTCGCCCAAAGCCCCCGCCCCCCCTCCGAGCACCACACTGCCTGAAGCC